TTAACTAAATTTTTTTTTATAATAACATATCTAATAATATGAGATACCTTTAATTTATGGTAAATATTCATTTTAAATACAAGCCTATCATATAAATAAAAAGATTAATTCATGAGTTTAAGAACTGAAATTGAAAGGATAAAGAGATGATTACACTTAGAAAAGAGATGTTGGTGCAATCCAAATTAGAGCCCTGTTCAATAATTGGATCATATCTGAAGCTGTAGATTTTAGATTTAGATTTACTTTATATTAATAGAAAGATAAGACATAGAGCTACAATTTTTATGAGAGCTTAAAATTTAAAAAGATTATTTTCAAGTCTAAATTATAACAACAACGAATAAGTTCGAATCTGTCCTGCAGCCTAAATTTTGTTCCGTGTTTGGTTCATATCTGGATTTTAAAATTATAATCTCCAATATTAATTACATTTTAATTCTTAATTTCTAAAATTTATTTATAATTAAATAACAAATCTATCCTATCTCACTCTCTCTTTTGCCCCTTTACTACTTTCGTTTCTTGACGCAGCAACACATCAACAGGCCATTCTTCTATTTCCAAGATTTGTCAAAGGCCTTTCTCTGACATTGTTGAGAAACTGGTGTTTTAGAATCATGATATTTTCTTAGGGAAGCTCAAAGATATTCGACAGTGAGAGTCACTAGAAAAAGAGCATGAGAGGCAATAGAGATGGCTTGTATACTGTGTCCAGGGAAAATGGGCATGATGTTAAAACCTACCAAAAGCAGGGCAGCCAAGCATATACAAGGTTGAAGGTTCAAACGAGCTACGATCAAAGCATAATCAACGGAGGGCTAGAAAACCTCATGACTCTGTAAGCCTTTCCCAACCTTGTGCAAAGCATGAGGTATATTGTAAGTCTTTCCCAAGCTTGCGCAAAAGCAATTCTATAACATCACCTGTCAATCCTGCCCTATAGCTTTTAAACAGTGCAGGAAGCAAACATGGATTTCACTGAACAGATTTTACAGGAAAGCATTTCCTATGAATAACACATTACAGACAATGCATACACATCCAACAATCCCTAAATCCTTCACAGCTACATTAGATTCCAGATATTGCTATCTTCTAAATGGATCAGAAACGAATACAAATTTCCTGATTTCTGATAACTTGAACATACAGGAGAAGCCAAAATAGGAACATTAGCTACAAACTCCGGTAAGTCATCTGACTGAACAACGACCACCGGGTGCACATGAAGATATTTATCAGATTAGAAAAGGACAGGGACGAAGAGAAACAGAAAGTGCGAATCGGGTGTGGAATAGGATGAAAGCTGGCCTTTATCCCACTCAGTGGTAACAACAATTGTGGTCAAATGGAGATGGCTAGACTTGGAAAGCTCGACCCAGGCAAAGTAGCGGCACAGCAAATCTCCTGGCTATAATTGGCATCCTTATGTGTTCAAAAAGAGGTTTGCAAATTGGGAGTACAGGTCCTGCTATTACTAGGGCGATAAAAAAAAAAAAGGGCAGAGTTGGTGGAGAACACTACCACATAAAACATAAATTCTCTCGCTAATTAATTTATCAATAAAATTATAAATAAAAATATTTTATTGGTAGATCTTTTATCGGTAATTTTATATTTATCGATAAATTTATTGGCAATAAAAAAATATTATTATCAACGAATTTACTGACAGAATAGACGTGTAAAAATAATTACCTGCTTCATTTTGTCTATATATCCCTAAAAACAATACTGTCGGTAATTATTTAAAATAATTTAAAAAATTCATTTTATAAAATTATAAAATAATTAAATTAACATAAATCAACACTCTATAATATATACTCAAAATGCTTGGAAAAAAGAATAAGGAAATCAACTCAAACAAATTTGCAACAAATAAATAAAATGAAAAAATAAATTCAACTAAAAAAAATTGATAACAACAACATTTATCTTTTATGAAAAAAAAATCTCACAACAATATTTATTCAATTATTAAGAACAAAAACAATTAAACATAAAATAAAAAATAAATATAGTGAAAAAAACCATGAAAAAATAAAAAAAATAAAAATCTTACATTAATGTAGTTGCAAGTGAAGCTAAGGAGAATTTTTTTTATATAAAGCATATTGATTAAAAAAAACTAAGAGTATAAAAGAAGAAAGAAGAAAAAGACATATCCAAGTATGGAGGAGATTAAAAAAAGAAGAGGAGAGAAAAGAAGAGAAAGAAATAAATATTAATGTTTGTTACATATAGTGAAACAGAAGAAAAAGAAGAATAAAAAAGTTTGTTTCTTGCGAAATAAAGGGATTCAGACTTTTTATTAGAATACGTTAGCGATGGTTTTACCTGCAGATAATTAAATATTAATATTTTTTAATTCTTCCGTCGGTAATATTTAATTTAAATTTTCAATTTCATAAAAAAATTTTAGAAACCGCCAAGAATCACTGATGATTTTTCAATCCGTTGATAATTCTGTCTGTAATATTCAAATGAAAATTTGAAATTAATTGAATTTTTTCAGAAAACCATCAAATAACACCAATAACTTTTTAACCCGTCGGTAATTTTGTCAGTAAAGAACAACAATTAATAGTGCAATTAGAAAGGGAATAGTTCTAGAGCTCTTTGGAAAATACTAATGGAATTTTTCGTCGGTAATTCCCTTTATAATTGATATAATGAACAGTGTTCACAATTTACCAACAAGTTTATTGACTGAATAAGGAATAAATTGCATCGATAAATTCCATTAGTAAATCATCATTTTTTTACTTTGTTTTAATTTCTTTTTCCACTGTAATTTTCTCGGTATATACTAATGGAATATTTCTGTCAGCAAAATTCCTTAAAACTTTACCGACAGAAATATTCTCTTGATATTTTTGTTTGAATTTATCAATTTTATGGTAGTGGAATAATTATCCTCTCCCTTTATTTTTAACAAAATATTTTTTTATTAAAAGAAGTATTTTTGCTACAAACATAACACGAGTAAGAAAGGAAGATTTGGTTAAAGAAATAGTTTTTTTAGTGCTTTAAATCATGTGAATTCTTGCAAATGTTTATTTTAATTGCGTTGGGTTTTTCTTTAAAAAAAAAACTATACTTTTCTTTAAAAAAAAAACAAAATACATGTTTTTGATAAACAAAAATGAAATACATAAGAGAATGAAATTTTAACTTAAAACATTTATTTTCATCTATAATCTAATTGCTTAATTTCTTTAAAAAATATTTATTTTAATTACTGTAGAATTTAAAAAAAAAATAGATTAAGAAAAACATGTAACAAAGTATCCTTTTTGGTATAATAGAAAGCAGGTTGTCTACTTGATTCACGTGAAAACGACGCCCTCAAAGCCGCCATCAAAACCACCGAAGTTTCAGGTTATGTCAACATCTCGTGTGGCATCCGGCGGGACCACCATGATGGGGATAAGTGGTCAATTCCTGCTGTCCCCACATCATCATCTCCAGGACAAAAAAATGGCGACTCCTACTAACAAAAGAATTCAGCACTGCCCCATCACTATCAACAAGGCAACAAGCCACTATCATCACTGCATCATGTAACCCACAGAGGCTTGAAAGTTTTAATAACGAGCATTTCTAGCATGGGATTGCTTAAAGAATTAAGGATGAGGTCTCTAATGCAGTGTTGTTTAGCTTAATATATTCATCCAGAATCCAAAATATTAGAAGCGAATTGACCATCACATCAGAAATTAATTCAATTCCTTTGTGTATATTGAATCTTGGTGCGTCAATATTTACAATTGTGTTTGGTAGAAGTATGGATGGAAGTTGGCTGATGCCATGTGGAAAATGGTCTAAACACCAAGGATACAGGGGATCCATGATCAATGAGCCAGTAACCCAATGCATCAGGGGAAAAAAAAAACAATCCAGCTTGACAGTAGCTGGAAGAAACCCGAGGATGGTACTGCAAAATGGAATGCTGAGGGTTCTTAGGGAAAGCGGGAAGTGCAGGAATTGGAGGCGTTCTGAGAGACGCATAGGGACTTTTGTTGTGCGTTTTCTCTTGCATGATTGAGGACATGGATTCAAATGAGACTGAAGTTTTCCCCATTACGAAAGCATTAGAGATTATTTTTCCTTCATCGTTGGCAAGCCAGCTTAATTGGGCTGTGGAATCAGATTCGGTTGGCAGTGGACGTTCCAACAAGCCATGGACGATGCTGCGTCTGTTTAATTCTATTTCCATTGAACAGTGGCCTTTCTTCATGTTTCGAGAGAGGGATATCGTGGCATGTCATTAGCAAAGCAGAACTTGATTTCATAGCTAGCATGACTATTACCTGTTCTCTGTTTTTTCCTTGAATTTCTTTCCTCTGTTTCAGCCACTCACTTGATGGGTATTGTCTATAGTTTCCTTTTGAATTAACGAACAAAGAAACAACAAATTAAAGAGATTACAACCAAGCAATGAAGTCTAACGTAAGATTAACACTATTTTTGGCTAGTTGGTCTACTGCATGGTTAGCCCCTCTGTGTGAGTGAGTGTAAAAATTGTTTCCCTCAACTGTCTTCTTAACAATATTTGAAGCTCATAAAAGGTCTCAACTTGCCAGGATCTTAATCTTGGGCTTTTTATATCGCCAGCAACTCTGCCTCACTCGAATCAATAAAGCCAGCAGTGCAGGAGAAATAAAACATGAACGCACCACCAATCCCAGCTGGTCCTGGTTTCCCCCATTGATGCTCACTTGCATGGCTTGTTGGAAAAGACTTGTATTATTTTTATTAGCTTCAACATTATATTCTTTCGATTCAAAGCTCATAGGGGCACACATGCATTAAGAAGAAAAGGAAAGAAACTTGAAAGCCAAACTAGATACTAATTACACAGTTATACGCATAATATTGATTACCGCCAAGCAAATGGCCTAACTTGCCAGCTTCCTATAAGGCCAGATTAACAAACTACTAGCGCAGCGGAAAGGATTATTTTCGTATCAACAACGAGTACGTCAAATTCTTCAAAGACCATTCAGGGGAAGATCCTCGACATCAACCCAAATATCTTGCCCCATCAAGATCATCACTTTTCGTTGAGCTCTAACCCTGTACCTCCTAACCATGTCACTATCTTCATCTCTCTCCATAAAGAAAACAACCCTGTCTTCGGGAGCAAGGCCTTTCTGCTCTACAAAACGATGCCAGGAAGAGCGTAGAAGAACGGGTTTTGGGTATGCTCCAGTCAGACGGGTTGACAAGCAAAACCTCCATACATTATCAGTAGCATCGACTGCTTCAAATTTCATCGTATGGGCTCCTTTAGGAAATGGAAAAGCCTCAAGGACATGGGTTGGAACTGAAAGAGTATATCCTATATGGGTTGGTTTTAGTTTCTTCGTGAAGAGATGAACTTGTTCCATTCCTTCTCAGGAGATAAAAAGAGTTTATGTGAAGAGTAAAAGCTAGGGTGGGAGCAGAGAATAGCTAAATAGACACTAGGAAACAAACTCAAGAGAATGATAGAGAGAAAGAGAGATGCTATATGTAACTTATAGAGATTTGACCAAAATTTGTGTTTAACCAATCATTCATTAATAAATTTTGGGCTTTTAATTATCTTTATCTCCAATCATTCATTAATAACTATGTGTATGTGATTATTGCGGCTTAGAAATAGATGAGAAATTAGAAACATAACTATAAAAATTGTAATTTAACCCTAATTTTATTTGGACAGATAATTTGTTATCATAAAGATAAACCCCATTGAGTTAAAAAAAAAAAAATCATTGGAGATTTGGTATTAGTAATTCGCGATTGAAACAGAGGTTGGAGCGAAAAAAATACAGTGCAGTTGAAACTATTATTAAATTATTAAATTAATATTTAATAGATTGATATTAAAAAAAAATAATACTGTAGATGATTATGATAACGGGCACCTTCCGAACTTCTTTTCTACACTTTCCCGTGTTCTTTTGTTTTCATCTCCTTCTCGACCGCGTAAACGAAAAAGCTTAAGAAAAAGTTTGCTCTGATTTAACTGCCGGCCAATCCGACGAAGGGGTGGTACAATATTTCAGTGGCCCACGACACATCACCATATTAAGCAATTCCTACCTGAGCTGTATCGGAGTGTGTTCTTGGATAGATCAGTTCTGTGGGCCATCGATCTACCACATAAGTTCAAAATAGATTTCTCAGTGATTGACTTGTTTTAGAAGTCAAAAGGGTACCTATAGCTAGGGGGATCTATAGTGATAAAGTGAAGTTGGGATTTGGTGTTTTCCACTATTTATCTCCTAAAATTACTATTTATTATTGTGAGAATTATAAATCGTTGATTTATGTGTCCATGGTTTATTTTTATTATTTTTATTAAAATAATTATATTTTTAAGAAGATATTCGACCCATATAATTTGATTTTCATTTAATTAAATTGAATAAGTGATAGTTTAAATTTTATTGAATTAAATTAAATTAGTAATTAGTTGGTTATTAAAACTATAATATTATATTAAAGAATCATTCCAATACAATAAATAAATTATTAAATAAAATTTTAAGATATAATTTATATTATTGTTTAGGATATTTAATTTTATATAATTTAAATTTAATTAAATTAAATAAATAAAATTATTAAAAATTTAGTTGAATCAAATAATTCGAGGGGTTAATGTTTTATTAGTTAATTAAAAACTTACGTTTCAAATCCCAAGTTTTTCATAGGAAGGCTGGATTAAAGAACTATTATTCTAATGAAAGGGTCCACAGCTGGTCTCAATCGTATTAAAGGAACTTTTATCCTTTGTTATGAAAGTCTTGAAAACTTGAGCACGACCTGGTCAGTTATTATTAATTATTAGAATCTTCACTGGACCTCTAGCATGCACATTAAGGCCTTAATCATTACGGCCATAAAGCATTGGAATGACTGGAAACATGGCTCAAATTATATTTTTTAAAATTTTAAATTTAATTTTATTTAGAATTAATTTTTTTATATTTTCCTATGATTTTAATACAGAAATGTTAAAAATATTTATAAAAAATAAAAAATATCATTTTAATATATTTTAAAAAAATTATTTAAAAACAACTACTTTAATATTTTCAAACATACCTTTATCAAATCTAAACATTACTTTATTACCATCAGAAATTGAAATAAAATTGGTGTAATTTCTGGGTTATGCTAAGGAAATTAAATTAAAGAAAAAACAGATGAAGACATTATGTTGGCGATGAGAAATCAGGCTAGCACTATCTCAATTACTATGTATATGTAAGAGTAATGATAATTTAATTTCTAAGCTAGCTATAGTTTTCTTCACTTCATTGTTTAATAATCTCAGATATCATTTTATATTTGGTGCACCATATTTTTCTTATTTGTTTTCTATTTTATATTGGAATAATTTTTAATTGATTTTTATATCAATCAAGACTTATCAAGGTTGAAAATCATGCCTAACCTTGAGTTGAACCCACCAGCTACCCAAAAGACTCATCATAGGTGAAAATTATGCTTAACCTTGAGTCGAATCACCGGATTCAATTAAAAAAGCAATACTAAGATTCAATTTAATAATATTTTAAATTTTAATATAATTTATTGTTTAGAATTAAGATTTTACTGATTTTACACAAGTTAAGATCTATTTCACTTATTTTCAAGATTTTAATTTGATTTTCCATAGTTGATATGATTTGATGGGTCGTGATTTTAATTGCACACGACAAATCTACATGCTATCACTTTTCAGTACACTCAAAGACTCTTAACACTTCTTTGATTGTTGTATTTTAGCTATATATGGCCTTATGAAGACATGTATGTGCTGCTTGCTCTTGATTTGAGTGGGAAAACCATGCCTTTAATCCAAAAAAAAAAAACCCACAAGAACCAAACAGTGCAATTATGAACGAGTCATGAATACTAATTAATTTAAAATTAATATATATATATATAGCATGCCTCAATATTGTGATTGTTAATTTAATCCCTGTAATAAAGTACCTAGATATCAATATCTCAAACAATAGCTAGTATCATGATGATGATGATGTTCATATCAATCCATACAACTTTAGCACACATGAGATTATGTGATGGAGGACAACCTTAGGTTTTTCCCTTTTGACTTTCCTAATAGATAATATAGTTATTTCTTCATTATCAATCGATGTTGTATAGTGATTATTCCACAGATTTAGTAAGGAGTAAGATTCCCAAAACAAAAAACATAAGATGTTCTTATACCATTAAGTGGATATATTTGTATTATATTTATTGCTCAAAGTTTTAATCTTAATTAAATCATGCGATCGCAAAGACTTGTAGTATGTATGTTTTGAGAAAAAGGAATGGAAGTAAGAGTAATGCAAAATAATCATAATAATAATAAGTCACTTTTATTTATTTGTGAAAAAATAAAAAAAAAATGAACACAAGTTTAATTTATTTCTTCCCAAATTCAGAGGAAATTGAATTAAATAAAAAAATAATAGGATTTTTCTCATAATATCCTCTAAAAAATTGTATTCATTTCTTTTCCATCAATAATACATCTAAACAAACAAATTAAGCTACATTTTCCCTCACTAACCAAACGAAAATCCTTAATTTCTTCTCCTTATTTTAGTTTCTCTCCTATCTATCCCTTAACATTTCTTATTTTCCATATAGATTATTAATTTATTTTTAATATAAATTATCCATTTAAAATTTGATGAAAAGAAACTTGTTCTTCATTTACCAAAGAAACTTATTCTCCACAATCATGCATGCCCTCGTTGCAATAAAATAAAATAAATAAATAAATAAAAAATCAAGGTTTAACAGACCATTACTTCTTTAATAATTAACATTGCTGATTCAAAAAATAAATAAATAAGAGTATTTAAAAGTCATCCATGCCATTAATTAGACGTCATAACTGTGGAAAAACTTGAACAGGTTGGTTTAGCGCCTGGAAATCTCCAGGAACCTGCCGACTGAGAAGTTTCCTCGATCGATCCTTCCCTTAGTTCTTAATTTCCACGACTTAGTCTATTTAATGTGGAGCCCATTGAAGAAATTAATAATGTTTAAGTTTCTCGGTTAAGGAAGAACAAGGACCACCAAGGAGCCACCAGAGGTAGCTTAGCAGGGATCAAACCCAGGGACCAATATTCCATGCTCAAGCAAGACAGTACGGTCGATCTCACACAATTCTTATAACCGTTCGACATAAAGATAACGTTGTCAACTGTGTAGTTAGCAAATTACAATTGCGATCTCAAACATTTAGATATTGTTTGGTAATTTTTAAAAAATTCAAATATTAAAAATTAATTTTTTTATGTGATTTGAATTATTTTGATGCAACTTTAAAAATAATTTTTTTAAAATAAAAAATATCAATATTATTTAAATATATTTTGATACAAAAAATATTTTAAAAAGTAAATGTAACCACACTCAAATATAGCATATATATTTATAGATTACATCAATTTGTATGATTTTTTTTAAAATCAAATAAATTTATCATAAAAATAATTAAATCTAATAAAATCAAATAAATTTATCATAAAAATAAATACAACTTTAACTAGATGAAATTGTTTTCATGCATGTATTAAGCTCCAAAGTTGTTATTTTAAAAACAAATTTAATTTTTTAAATTTAATTTTTGGTTGAATAGACCATTACTTCTTTAATAATCAACTTTGCTGATTCAAAAAATAAATAAATAAGAGTATTTAAAAGTCATCCATGCCATTAATTAGACGTCATAACTGTGGAAAAACTTGAACAGGTTGGTTTAGCGCCTGGAAATCTCCAGGAACCTACCGACTCAGAAGTTTCCTCGATCGATCCTTCCCTTTGTTCTTAATTTCCACGACTTAGTCTATTTAATGTGGAGCCCATTGAAGAAATTGTTGGTAATTAATAATGTTTAAGTTTCTCAGTTAAGGAAGAACAAGGACCACCAAGGAGCCACCAGAGGTAGCTTAGCTAGGATCAAACCCAGGGAACAATATTCCATGCTCAAGCAAGACAGTGCGGTCCATCTCACAAAATTCTTATAACCGTTCGACATAAAGATAACGTTGTCAACTGTGTAGTTAGCAAATTACAATTGCGATCTCAAACATTTAGATATTGTTTGGTAATTTTTAAAAAATTCAAATATTAAAAATTAATTTTTTTATGTGATTTGAATTATTTTGATGCAACTTTAAAAATAATTTTTTTAAAATAAAAAATATCAATATTATTTAAATATATTTTGATACAAAAAATATTTTAAAAAGTAAATGTAACCACACTCAAATATAGCATATATATTTATAGATTACATCAATTTGTATGATTTTTTTTAAAATCAAATAAATTTATCATAAAAATAAATACAACTTTAACTAGA